TTTTTTTATTATCCTTGCCTCCTTTTGTGGTGAATTTGCTGGTTGAGTTGGGACATTAGGTATAGAATAAAATAATGTGAAGTATATAAACATGACTGCTGCAAAACCTGATCATGATACCATCATTCAACAATTAGTGAATATGATTATTTTTCATATTGAGCAAAACAAAGCAATGTGGCAGACTTTCATTTCATTGAGCTTTTGTCCTGAAAGGGAGTAATGTGACCCAGGACAGGAAGCTCTGATTAGAAGCTCTCCCTAGATTAGTGATAGGTCAAATTAATGTTTGAAGGATTTGTGTTTATTTTCACACCATATTCATTATTGCTTATATTAGAAAACTGTCTCAAAATGAATTGCCATGGGAAGCACCTCATAGCTTCATATCAGTGAGCAGCCTTTGTAAACACTGTAATCCAGTCAGTGTTTTAGAGTCATACAGCATGGAAGTACACTCTTCGGGTCCAACTCGTCAGTGCCAACCAGACATCCCAATCTGATCTAGTCCCACTTGCCAGCATTTGGCCCACATCCCTCTAAACCCTTCCTATTCATATACCTATCCAGATGCCTATTAAATGTCATAATTGTGTCCACCTCCAACACTTTGTCTGGCAGCTAGTTCCATACACGCAACACCTTCTGCATGAAAAAGTTACTCCTTAGGTCCGTTCTAAATCTTTCCCCTCCCACCTTAAATCTATGTCCTATAGTTTCGGACTCCCTACCTTGGGGAGAAAGAAATGGCTATTCACCCTATCCATGCCCCACATGATTTTATAAACCTCTATAACAGGTCACCCCTCAGCCTACGGCACTCCAGGGAAAATAGCTCCAGCATATTCAGCCTCTCCCTATTGCTCAAGCCCTCCAATCCCAGCAACATAAGAACTAGGAGCAGGAATAGGCCATCCAGCCCCTCGAGCCTGCCCCTCGATTTAATAAGATCGTGGCTGATCTTTTTAAGACTCAGCTCCACTTACCCGCCCACTCACCATAACCCTTAATTCCTTTACTGTTCAAAAATTTATCTAGCCTTGCCTTAAAAACATTCAGCGAGGTAGCTTCAACCACTTCACTGGGCAGAGAATTCCACAGATTCACAACCCTTTGGGTGAAGAAGTTCCTCCTGACCTCAGTCCTACATCTGCTTCCCTTTATTTTGAGGCAATGCCCTCTAGTCCTAGTTTCACCTGCTAGTGGAAACAACCTCCCTGCCTCCACCTTATCTATTCCCTTCATAATCTTATATGTTTCTATAAGATCTCCTGTCATTCTTCTGAATTCCAATGAGTATAATCCCAGCCTACTCAGTCTCTCCTCATAATCCAACCCTCTCAACTCTGGAGTCAACCGAGTGAATCTCCTCTGCACCCCCTCCAGTGCTAGTACATCTCTTAAGTAAGGAGACCAAAACTGCACACAGTACTCCAGGTGTGGCCTCACCAGGACCCTATACAGCTGCAGCATAGCCTCCCTGTTTTTAAACTCCATCCCTCGAGCAATGACAGACAAAATTCCATTTGCCTTTTTAATTACCTGCTGCACCTGCAATCCTACTTTTAGCGATTCATGCACAAGGACACCCAAGTCCCTCTGCACAGCAGCGTGCTGCAATTTTTTACCATTTAAAACATAGTCCATTTTGCTGTTTTTCCTACCAAAATGGATGACCTCACACTTATCAACATTGTACTCCATCTGCCAGACCTTTGCCCACTCACTTAGACTATCTATATCTCTCTGCAGACTTTCAGTGTCTTCTGCACACTTTGCTCTACCACTCACCTTAATGTCATCTGCAGATTTTGACACACCACACTTAGTCCTCAACTCCAAATCATCTATGTAAATCCTATGTAAATCTATGTAACATCCCTGTAAATCTTTTCTGCACCCTCTCGACTTTAACAACATGCTTCCTGTAGAAGGGAGACCAGAATTGAATGCAGTATTTGCCTCATTTACATCCTGTACAGCTGCAAGATGACATCCCAACTCCTCTACTCAGTGTTCTGACCAATGAAGGCAAACGTGCCAAATGCCATCTTTACCACCCTGTCTACCTCTGACTCCACTGTCAAGCAACTATGCATCTACACCCTAGGTCTCTTTGTTCAGCAACACTCCCCAGCACCCTACCATAAGTCCTGCCCTGGTTTGCCTTACTAAAATGCAACACCTCACATTTATCTAAATTAAACTCCATCTGCCACTCCTTTGTAGCATGATAAAACATTTCAGTTCGACTGAGAGTGCTCAGATTTTAATGCTATAATTTGAATCACAATTTAAACATTACATGCCTGATTCTTGATATACATAATGAATGGCAATGATAATTGATGGCTTGGCATTTTTTGCTTTGACATTATGAATGTAGAACTTTCAATTGCAGTTGCTCAATCACAATTCTTACTCTTCTATTCAGTCAAGTATGATCTGAATGACCCTAACAAACAAGCCAAGCTGGATATTCTCAACAACATCACCACAGGCCTGGTGTTCATAATTGTCATTGTGAATATTTTCATCACAGCTTTTGGAGTACAACGGCCTCCTTCTTTTGAAACAGCTCCACAACATCTTTAGCAACCTGTAAAATAAGGTAATTCCACATCATTGTGCACCTTCTCCTTTAGTGTCTCATACAAAGCTGTTGAAGTACTCAGTGTCTGTGTCGAGTTATATCTATTAGTGGATTATCTCTGGATTGTTAGGTGATCCAGATGCAACCTGGCATAGAATAAAGGATTGAGGACTGAGCACAAGTCTCGAGGAGTCATGTGAGGAAAGAGGGGTACCATTCAGTGGGACACTGGCCGCAGTACTGGACTAGAAGAAACTGTTATTTACAGCTCAAACTGAATAGGACTAGGACAAGGGTTCCAAGCCGAAGGGATGCTCTCAAGGATTTTAACCTCATAAACAGGGATAGGGCTCAGTAATAAACCTAGTATGGATAAACCTAGTATGGATAATAATTTTGAAAGCAAATAAAAACAGAAAAGGAATAGGATAACAGAAATTGTAATTTAAGTGCAGGAAATTAGAGGAAGACTGAAATATGTAAACTAAAACCAAGAGAGAGAAAGGAGCAAATTAGAACGGGAACACGGGTTAGAATGTAAGTCCCAAATAGACATTTTCTGGAAGGAACAAATTGAGAGGAGGGTATGACATGTTAACAATTACTGAGGCACGGTTACCAGCTGGCCAGGACTTGGACTTTCATTTGGTAGATTTTAAGGATTACAGGGAAGATCAGAAAAACAGTTGAATTTGAGAAGCAACCATAATGATTAAGAATAAAATCACTTCCCTGGGAAGAGAGGATATAAACAATACATAAACAGGCAGTATGGCCTTTATAGGTAGAACAATAAAATAGGAAAGATGTAAGACTGCAATGTGTATAGGCTACCTGATTGTAGCTGTGAAGTGGTAGCATGTACAAATGCTGAGATTAGATAAACATAGCAAAGGAAGGGTGGTTTTAATCCGGGACTTTTTCATATGGATTGGAATAAACAGACAAGCATGTCATAAAGTTAATGAATTTCTTGTGTGTTTTGGATACTTTTCTAACATATTAGGTCCTAGAATTATCTAGAGTACAGGTCATATTCAATTTGATAATGAACCAAATTTAGATAATTCCAATTTCAGAAATGTTCATTTGGTTTTGGGATTGGTTCAAGATCCATGCCTTGTTTAGAAGGGAAAATAAGAAAGATTTTAGAGTTAGGTAAGGTTAACTTTTCGTGACATTAATGAGGGGTTCATAGTAACCTGGACAAATCTGTTGGTGGGTAAAATTACAGATGATCAGGAGGAGGTACTTAACATGATCTAACATAACATAATCTAACATGATCTAAAACCAGTTTACACCCCTGAAGGATCGGAATTCTATTTGGTACCATAGAAGGGACAAACCAACAAAAAAAAATGCAGATGAAAGTTCAAATCCAGCAAATGGGAAAGAAACAAAGAGCTGCAAAATTAAGAGTTCAAGACAGAACACAATAAAATGCTGCTGCTGCTATTCAACCCTCAGGAGAGGGCAGTCAACATAGTTAGCATTAAAAGGAAAGTGGTTAATTTTTAACTGCCCTTTGAAATACCTTGCATTCTACTTAGTTATATAAAATCGCTACAGAATCTGATTTAAAGGAATGAAACCAGGCTGACCATCTGCTTTCAAATGCACGCCATGATTGGATAGACATGACAATAGCACGTAGCCCTGTTGACTCTGCAAAGTCCTCCTTCCTAATATCTGGGGCTTGTGCCAAAATTGAGAGAGCTGTTCTCCCGTCTAATTAAGGAACAGGCTGACAGTGTCTGTAAGATATGATTCCACTCTTTCACAGCAACATAAACCACAGTAACATTTCATCCAGGGAGAACAACAGATTACCTTTTCTCGATCCCGCCTCTCTTTCATCTTACAAGCAAATGAACATTTTACAGAGCAATTGCTACAGTTCAGTAGCTGGAATACTAGTTTGCAATGCAGAGTGACGGCAACAGCATGGGCTCAATTCCTGCACCAACTGAGGTTACCATGAAGGGCTTTCCTTCTCAATCTCTCCCCTCGCCTGAAGTGTGTTGTTAGTCATGTTAAACCACCACCAACCATCTCTAATGAGAGAGCAGCCTAATGGGACTTCAGTGACTTTACCTACAACATCTTTTTAGGAGTTTGGGAGACTAAGTCTGCTCATTACAAACTGGTTTCATTGTCTACAAGCAGAAATATCCCATTAAAACAATCTAAGCCTTTCACTGATCTCCAACAGTTAAACTATACGGCCTTACTGTCAGACAGACTTCAGAATAGATCTGACGATGCCCATTGTTTGCATTAAACTTAAAGAAAGTTCCAGTCCTAAATGTAATAATCTTATAAACCTCAATTGTAACAACAGTTCTATCTGGAGATAATCATCTGACCAAAATAAAGGGAGAAAATAAACTGAAGGAAAACTAGCAAGTAACATAAATATGGACAGTAAGAGCTTCTTTAAAATATATAAAATGGAAGAGAGAGGCAATAGGGAACATAAGCCCTTTAGAGACAGAGACTGTGAAGTCACAATGGGGAGCCAGGAAATGGCATACTAGAGATGAATAAGTACTTTGCATCAATCTTCACAACAGAAATCCTAAAATACTGTATAATCAAAAGGCTAAAGTGGGAAAGGAGGGGAGGAAATAAACACAATAGCTATCACTGCAGAACAGAAGTACTGGAGAAACTAATGGGACTAAGGGTTTAAAAGTCCCCTGGACCTGATGAGCCACATCCTAGGATTTTAAAGGAAGTAGTTACAAAGTGGATACACTGGTGGTAATCATTCTAGAATCCTTAGATTCTGGAAAAGGCCAACACGATTGGAAAACTCCTAATGTAACAACATTATTTAAAAAGAGAGGAAGACATACATATAAGCAAATATAAGCCATTAGTTTAACATCTGTCTTATGGAAAATGTTAGAGTCTATTATAAAGGATGTAATAGCAGAGCATTTAGAAAAATATGGTGCAATCAGAGTAAGTATGGCTTCACAAAGGGGATATCATGGTCTTAGAAAATTTATTAGAATTCTTTGAGAGGATAACAAGCAGGATAGACCAAGAGGAAGCAGTGGATGTAATATATTTGGATTTCCAAAAGACATTTGATAAGATACCTCTCATAAGGTTCATCAATAAGCTAACAGCCTGTGGAGTTGGGGTGGTTTATTAGTATGGTTGGCTAGAGAAGACAGAGAGTTGGGATAAAGAGGGCATTTTCAGGATGATAACCTGTAAGTAGTGGAGAGTCACAGGGATCATTGTTGGGGCAATTATTTGTAATAACTTAGATGAAGGAAGTGAATGTACAATGTGCCTGTGGGGTCACAAAAACAGTTAGGAAGGTGAGTAGTGAGGATGATACATCTAGTCTGCAAAGGGATATGGACAGGTTAAATGGAGTTGGAAAAGTCTCAGCAGATGGAATACAAATGTGGGAAAAGCTGAGGTTATGCACTTTGGGCAGGAAGAATAGAAGAGCTGAATATTAAATGGGAAAAGACTGCAGAAAAGTGCAGCACAGAGAAATTTGGGCATTGAAGTGCATGAATCACAAAAATCTAGCATCCAAGTTCTATGGGTAACGGGGAAGACAAATGGAATATAAAAATAAGGAAGTCATTTTAAAACTACACAAGACACCAGTCATACCAAACCTAGACTACTGTAACCAGTTTTGGACTCCTTATCTGAAGAAAGTTATTCTGTCAAGTCAAGCTTCAGTAGGCTGATACTGGGTACAGAGGGATTTTCTGAAGAGGATAGGTTAAATTAATTGGTTATAAGACATGGGTAAGGAGAAATATTTTCTCTCAGAAGGTGGTGAATCTGTGGAATTCTTTACCACAAGAGCATTTGAGGCTGGGTTGCTAAGTATATTATGGATGAGATAGACAGATTTCGAATCATTGAGGGAATCACAGCTTATGGGGATAAAGCAGGAAAATGGAGTTGAGGATTAGCCGGTCAGTAATGTTCTCATTGAATGTCAGTTGGATTCAATGGGCCGAGTGGCCTACTTCTGCTCCTACTTCTTATGGCATTATGGTCTTAAGTAAGTTAGGGAACGCTGTGACTCAGCTCTTCTTTAGAAGACAAGCCTCTCTCGTGAACTTAGGAGGATGGATACGTATTGGAGTATTGTTTAATTGGTCAAAGTCATTATTACTGTAGTCAACGTTAATAAAATAGTCAGAGAGGTTATAACTCAATCAAAGTTCGTGTGCTTTGCTGCATTGTTCCAAGTAGCTAAAATATTTCAAATAGTTAAATGACAATAGGGGTTGACAGATATTTCAAAAATTAAGGAAGTAAAAATTGCAAATATCCCACATGTCAAAAGCTTCTATATTAAGAACCTATTAAATCAAAAACTTTCCAGTAAACCTCATGTTCCCTGCTTTTTTCAGGGCATAAGTTCACATTCTATAAAGTGCTTCTGCTTCTGCTTCTGCCTTTCAGCCTAAAGGAGTTATTCTAATACCGGAGTCATGCTAAAAAATTAGGAAGATCAGCTGGTCCTACATCTGGCATGGAAAAAGAATAATGATTTCCAACTATGTAAAGTAAAAATTCCCCGTAACTGTTCTGACCTCACAGAATAGATTTCTATAAAGTAGCCCACAGCACCAAAACACATTCACAAGAATAAAATACTTGACATGAAAATTATCCATGTCTATCTGATTGTTTGAAAAGGCAGAGGTTCTTCAGTTCTATTGGTATTGGTTATATTGTTTAAATTCAGTTTTGCAATTGGTATATATATTCAGTACATCAACAGCCAAATTAGCTTCAGTGTCCATCTTGATATTAATTCCAATTTGATCCTTCAAAACTATTTGGTCTACCAGAATGATAAGTGAGCATTCCAAATGGAAATCTCATCATTTAAGGTTCAAACATTTGTTGTTAATATACATTTATTTCATAAAAAACTGAAAGAACTGTGGGTGCTGTAAATCAGGAACAAAAACAGAAGTTGCTAGAAAAGCTCAGCAGGTCCGGCAGCGTCTGTGAAGAAAAAATCAGAGTTAGCGTTTCGGGTCCGGTTACCCTTCCTCAGAACAGACATGACTTTTTCTTCACAGACGCTGCCAGACCTGCTGAGCTTTTCCAGCAACTTCTGTTTCCGTACATTTATTTCATACTGAGGTTTAATCTCGTAATGGTTCAATTTAGGCATAATATGAATTATTGACACTTTGAGCTTCAGTCTCTAAGTGACTTCATGATTTCACTTCAACCAAGATGTGACCAAACAGGAAGCAAAAGAATTAGATACAGAGAGGAAAGGAAGAGGATGAAAGGCTTAATAGGCTAAAGTCAAATTTTAAAAGATTTTGAAAACTCAAAGAGAAAAAATGCATAGAAATTGCAGCATTCTGTCAGTATCAGACTAGATCATTTTCTAGGGAATTTATTTCATTTCAGTGTCAGAATGAGGTATTTACCCAATATTGTTTCCTGTGAGATTGAGGTTGGGTTTGGAAGGTGGTGGTGGAGAGCTGGTCCCACAATGGTGACTTGTAGAACTTTAGAGGAGCTTGAGAGCATTGTATACCATCATTTCTGGAATCAGCTTTGCATTATGCAAGATTCCTATTGAAAAGTCCCTAAAAGACATGACCCTCCAACCCTGTGTCTTAATACCGAGTCAGTCTCCTGTGTGATTGATTTTTCGCCTTCTTGTTTTCTGAAGATTAAATGTTGTTCTTGCCAGAATAGGCTTGGCCAAACCGCAATTGCTAAAATGCATCTTATTATGGATCAGTCTTAGACGGAGCCAGAAACAGGATCTTAGGAATTTGTGATTTGTTATTTCTCAGTGTCAAAATAATTCTTTGTGATTAAAACTACCAGGCTACTCCTCATTTAAAGACGAATAAATCTGTAATAGAATGTCCATTTTAAATGCTGTTGTGTTGGAATTAGCCATTCTAAATAGTAATTTCCTTTTTTTAAAATCTCTTCCAGATGTAATGGAACATTCTGAGCTACAAACGAATCTCAAGATCTCATGCATCATTGGCAAATTTGCAAAATTAACAAGAGAGCTTTTAAAAGGCAGGCCTCTTAAAATTCCTCTCTTAACTTGTGGCACTCTCCATTGAGAAATACTACGTGCATATTTCCACTGAAAAAGGAGTCATGCATCAGTATTTGAAGTGTACCCAGGGCATTACAATTTTGTAAAATAAAGCTTTTCTGCCAATACAATTGATGAGCAACGTTGTGCATATCTGGAATATCTGACATTTCTAAATTCAGCAAAATATGTTTCACTATAAGTAATAAATAGAAACAAGTACATCTTTAAAAGTAGATATATTATTTTGAAATTAGAGTTTAGAAGTACAAAAGGTAGTTATGAAAGAGACCAGAAATTCTTAAACATGTCATAACAACCAACTAGATTATGGAACATTTCAGTAAGTGACAGTAAACTTAGCAGCAGATTGTTGGTGCAAGATTAAGACATTAATAATGGATTGCTTGTATATGTAACAATAGGAGCATGGCCTGCTAAAAGTACAGTTAGACAACCTTCATGCTTTTTGAAGTTTTCTGCACATAATATGAAACATTTGAAATATTGTACTTTAGAATTGTAAGTCTTTATTGAGAATGGAAAATATTTTACTTCTTTTAGAGCAACATTGCTATAACTGTATTCTATTTTTGATTCCAAAGTGCTAAAAAGGTTTGTTAATGTAGCTGTGGTTTTAGATCATGCTCACTTGTGTGTGTCCTTACATATCTGTAAAATGCAATTGTAAACCTTGGGATTCCTCTATCTCTTTTTCCACTGGTCTCACGATGTTTTCTTTACATTTATTTCTCCATTTATTTCTTCCCTGCACCACTTTTGCTCTCTACGTCTATTTTGAACTCTTGGCTCTGTATATTTGCCTGTTTTGGTTTTTTGTCCAGGTTACACTTTCCTCCATCTGTGATTTATGATCCTTCACAATGATGAACAACTTTGTATTGCTTACTTTGTATCTGCTTTTCATCACTAATCAGCAATCTCTGGTGAAAATGCATGATGTAGATGTTGGATGAGCATAGTATCAGGCTTGACTAAGTTCTGTTGTTCTATGGTCAATTGGCACTCAAAGTCTGGATGGACTAAACAGCTAAGCTGAAGGCAAACATTCTCGACTTTATTCATAATGACTGACTTGTGAGCCGAAGATCTAGAAGATCAGGAGAAGAGGAAAAAGTAACATCGGCCTCCAGCTTCAGGAGACATGTGCCTCAACAAGGAGCTTGCTATTATGAAAGGCTTTTTTGTGGCAGTTACTGCCACTGAAGGCGCTTCTGCTCCTCTCTGAACCATTTGCTGGCCATTTACTCATTAATGTAGAGGCCAGCATAGGTCACTGCATGTTGAAGCATTCTCCTTGTCCCTAGTCTTTAGCAGCACCCACCTTGCTCAATGGAGCTGCTGAAACAAGGAGCTGCCTGCCCTTTGATGGGCCCTGCACTATTGGGTGCCTATCCATAGTTGGTGAGCTGGGAAGCTGCTCCGAGAAAATTTCATCACAGCCTCGTTGACAACTTGGGATCTCAGATTTGATCTTAACACCAGGCTCCCAAACCCTGGAGGAAAGATCTGCCCAAAACATTTTTCTACTCAAGATTAAAATCACTTGGGTTCTAAATGATTGTCTAAGACAGATGCAAGCTACGTTTATCTCTTCCTCTATAAATAAATAATAAATTACTTTCAGTATGTGCAAATTGTAAGTTCCACCTGATCTCATCTAAAAGGTGTTAAAAAAAATCTCTTCTCATTTACAACCTTCTATAGGAAGGATGTTGTTCAACTTGAGGGGGTGCAGAAAAGATTTACAAGGCTGTTGCCAGGACCAGAGGGTTTGAGCTATAGGGAGAGGCTGAATAGGCTGCGACTATTTTTGCTGGAGATCGAAGGCTGAGGGGTGACCTTATAGAGGTTTATAAAATCACGAGGAGCATGGATAGGGCGAATAGCCAAGGTCCTTTTCCTAGGGTGGTGGGAATCAAAAACTAGAGGACATAGGTGAGAGGGGAAAGATTTAAAAAGAGTCTGAGGGGTAACGTTTTCATGCAGAGGTTGGTGCATGTACGGAATGAGCTGCCAGAGGAAGTGATGGAGGCTGGTACAATTACAACATTTAAAAAGCATCTGGATGGGTGTATGAATAGGAAGGGTTTAGAGGGATATGGGCCAAATGCTGACAACTGGGACTAGATCAGATTGGGATATCTGGTCAGCAATGATGATTTGGACTGAAGGGTCTGTTTCCATGCTGTATGACTCTATAACTAAAACATTAAATCAGTAATATGATCACAAGTGATAGGATGCTCTCTGTCTCAGAGTCTGGCTACCAAGATAAGAACAACCAAAATAATGTGGGTAGAACCAGTCGGCAGCTACAAATTGGATGTCGAACAATGGCCACAGCACTGTGAATCATGAATACAGGAGTAAGCTACTCTTACTTCCTTTGTTTTCATGTTAGTTTTGTTTTAAATGCGTTAAGTGAACAAAGGATGGATTATAAAGTACAGCCTTATACTTTGAATTTCACTGTTTTAACAATATTAGAAATGAAAGCAAACATTAAAGTATTTTGACTATCTCTTCTACCATTGTACACAATTTATATTGTGCAGAAGCACAGGTGTATTATTAGCTAGAGAAATCTTAATATTGAGTCTTTTCTTTATAGTTGAGCATCTAGATTTTTTGAACAACTATTGAGAGTTTCATGTGGGTTTGTTTTAAATATATATTAATTTTTACAGTAAAAATCTGCTTGGAGGAATTTTATATCGTGAAACAGTAATGGGATTTACAAAACAATAAAACATCAAAAATAGTGCATGGTGTAAACTGAGAAACTCACAAAAGGAGTGGTGTGTTAACAATGGAATGTTGGCTACACCCCTTTCATAAGATCCATCTGGGATCTTCTTCCTTCTTCTGCATTGCTTTAGGAGCAGAAGCTGACATCAGAGTTTCAGTGTCAAGTTACTTAATCAGTCCAAGGCCTTTTTGGAGAGCAAGTGTAACTCCAAATCGTCGCCTTCAAACTTGAGTCAGAGACAAGATGTTACTATTTGCTTTATTGTTTCATCAGGGTTTCCGCAATTGATGCCCAGTACTACTTGTGGCAACATCAGCCATGCCTAATCTGTCTTCTGTTGAGCGTTGTCAACATTCTCCAGAGGGAGACTGAGCCTCGTTGTTGAGATGTTGGTGTTGGGACAATGCGTTTGTATCAGATGGTGTTCACTGCCCAAACTTTCGTCCAGATTTCATCAGTGTGGAAGAGTTGAAAAAGTTCAGTTCATACCCAAATGGGATTTCATAGAGGCATATGGCAAGTTGGGAGAACTTGAAGGGCTCTCTAGATGGGGAGGTTCACATTGCTGCTGATAACTAGTTAGTTATCTTGTGTGCCATTGAATGGAGGGAGGAAAGATATGGTTTACCCAATATCCTTAAACTTTGACCCCCGTTCTAGATTCCCCTGGTCACCAGGAACGGAAGGGTCTAGGCCCGAAACGTCAGCCTTCCTGCTCCTATGATGCTGCTTGGCCTGCTGTGTTCATCCAGCTTTACACCTTGTTATCTCTGCTTCCTGCAAGCACCCTGTCTAGACTGCAATGGGTTTATACCTCTATTGCCTTGTTTTATGACAGCTGCTTTTCCAAAGATGGACCAGCACGCAGCATCAGACCAAGTCAGATTGATTCACATTCAGCAGATGTTACCTCTCAGCTTTGTTGCTGGAATATTGATGTCTCTTTCCAAACAAGCCTAAAATTTTCAAGGAGTGCCCACCTAACAAAGCTAGACTTCAAGAGGTTAAAAAAAAGTGACTAATGAAGTATTCATTCCAGTGCCTGTGTATACAGCAGCTATCAACATTTTAAACATCTTAGTTTTTATTCCACGTAGTAACTTAAATGTATTTGTTATGAAATATTGCACTTTACAATTAAAATACTTTCTTCTACAAAATTTCTGTCCATTTTGACATCTCTAAGTTCTTGTCTATTTTGTTTAGAATGTGAACTTTATTTTAACCTGTTTTTAATCATTATTAAGCAAGTTGTCAACATACTGCTTCAGCACTATGTTGAGTGACACACAAACATCAGGGACACGTGAAGACCATTAAAACAAAGAGCAGAAGCAGGCCATTCAGCCCATCAACTGTGCTCCACTATTCACTTAGCTCATGGCTGATCTGATAATCCTAGATTGTTTCCTCTTGTGCAAGAGTCAAGTAATCTCTCTGCATCTACCCTGTCAAGTCACCCAAGAATCTTGTATGTTTCAATAAGGTTGTCTCTCATTTTTCTAAACTCAATGAGTACAGGCTTAACCTACTCAACTTCTCCTAAGACAGACCCTCCACACCTGGTATCAGTCTAGTGAACCTTTTCAGGACTGCCTTTAATGCCAGTCTTTCCTTAGGTTAAGGGACCAAAACTGTTCACCGTATTCTAGCTATGGTCTGACTACTGGCTTGCATAATTTTAGCAAGACTTCTTTATTTTTATATTCCATTCCCTTTGAAGTAAATGCCAACATTCCATTTGCCTTCCATATTCCCTGCTGAACTTCTATGCTAGCCTTTTGAGATTTATGTACAAGGAGTCCCAAATCCCTCTGTGCTGTAGCTTTTGCAGTCTTTCTCCATTTCTGATAATATTCAGGTCCTTTATTCTTCCTGCCAAAGTGCATAACCTCACATTTTCCCAAAGAGATAACCATCAATTTAAAAAAAACAATCTCTATCCCTCCATCTGCTCCAGGGAAAGATTCTGCAATGGTTTGATTATCCCAAAGATAAATCAAATAGAATTGCACAATACCTGTGAGAGATTGTATTCTGCTTCATTCATCCACTCCTCAGCAACAGTTCAGCACAATGTAAGATTTGATCAAGTATCACAGATTACTCAAAAAAGTGTTAAGACGCAGCGGTTTATTGAGAAGTGATCATTTCTATACAGTAAAAAATTAGAATAGACATAGTTGACAATGTGTTAACAGTGAGGACAGTTTACCAGTCCTGGAATGAATGGATCAGGTAGACTTTTTTGGTCTTTATAACTCCTCTTTTCCAGTTGTCTCTTGAGTTGATCGAGGTGTTATACTGCAGATGCTATACTACGTGGATCCATCTCAGAAATCCTTCCTGCTGTTCAAT